TTTAAAGGCATAAAACGGTAGCTCTATAGAATTTTTTGACATTCGTGTATCATCTTCTGTTACAGTCTAACAGTTTTCATTTTTCAAATCTATTGAATGAAATAAATTGATTAAATTCGATCGATGCGAGGATTCGATCACGATTACAATCTGGATTAAATAATAGAACTCTATCATGGAGACTTCTTTAACCTATCCTTTACAGTTATTTAACTGATTTTTAATGTGTAGGAGGTTCTGCATTCGTGTGTATGTTTGTTTGTCTATAATTTACGCAATGTTTTCTCAAATTTGTATATGTCAATCTCAATCCACGTGGGTTTTAATATACATGATATGAAAATATTCTGCTCATAAAGATCAATTTAAAGTAACTTTTCCATACAGCATTCCATCGTTGAATGTGCATTCCCAATAAAATTTCAGCTATAACTTAACATATAATATTCATGTTTGAATTTTTATAGAATTTATATACAAATAGTATTTTTTTAGAATTTGTATAAATTAAAAGCGTTGGAATTAAAATATATTATTTTTAATTTTTCTTCAAACTTATATTTAAAATAATAAACAAATTTAAAAATACATATCAGTAATATATAAAATTTAAAAAATGACCGTCGGTACGTCTAAACGCGGAAGAAGTCAGGCTTCGCGGAGCATGACACTCAGAGAAGATTTAATGGGTAAGACAAAAATAATTGTAGGTGTCAGTAATAACAGGATATGATATTTTACAAGTTTTTATTTAAAATGTCTATACATTCAGAAATCTACGTGGTAATTTTTAAAACCGTTAGAGCCAAATTTAACAAACATGCATCTTATTTTATTAGAAACTAACTGGATTGGGAAATATTTTTAGTGATTTGTGTAGATGGAAAGATCTTTTAGATTATCTCTTCTGTTCTACAGTATATAAAAAATATTGGTTTTTACTCGTAGTTTACCTAAGTTCTTTAAACACACATGATCTACCTATATATATATATATATATATATATATATATATATATATATATATATATATATATAAATCTATTTTTCGTGAAGGATTCATCATCTTCCAGACTGTGAAGTGTGAGTGATTCTATACAGCGAATAATGATATGAAATTTTTTGACAGCATATTCCTGTAATAACATAGATCGCTTAAGTATTTTTTTACTTCGGTCCCTAATGGAGTGAAAAATGACGATAGAATTATACTAATTGTCAAAAAAAAGTAAGCCCGTTGGCATAATTATGGTAAAAAATTTGAAACCACTGCGTTACATCACTAATTTTCCTATAAATACAAAAATGTGTGAAGGACTGCTCCAAATATTACAGATTCATTACCTTCTGTTAGAAAACTTGTATCTTCGTATATAGCATGTAGAATTTTTATTGACTTAAAGGCAATGGTAGCCCAGTGGTAATTCGCTCGCTTGGAAAATCGAGTGAAGCGGGTTCAAATCCCGGGTCTCTCTGTGATATTTTGTACGAATGTACGAATTATTTCAATTACCACTACTTGTCTTACGGTGAAGGAAATCATCGTGAGAAAAAGCTGCATTTTTTCATGCCAAGTCCGCCAACTTGGCCAGTGTACTGAAATAAAGCCTGATCATGTTGAAGGGAGGCCGTGCCCAGCAGAGGGACGATAAAAAGGGCTGAATACATGTTGGCATTTGATACTGTACAGCTGGTCTATGACCTGGAGTTACCCATGGGTTACTCTTGCACTTATATATGTATGTACCCAAGCAAAGCCAGTGTATGTATGTTAAACACACAAAAACAGAAATATCTTGAGTACCTCCTCTCTCTGAAGTAGGAAATTTTTTTTAACAATAAGCGTATACACTATACACGGTCCTTTAAATTGTATTAAAGTTTTAAATAAATATTTGAAGTTCCTAACATTATTGCTACACGTGCAAGTGAATGGACTCAAATATTGTGTAATATCGTACTCGATAAGCTTTCTCTCCTAGGCCAGCTAACTTCATACAAGTGTTTGGGTTTAAACAGCTCACCTTTCAATTTAAGCCTAATTACCTTTATATGTATGGAAAATAATTATATATTAATTTCTACTATCTATACATATAAATAAAGTTGAAGTGTCTGTAATAACAAAGTAACAGCTTTTTACTAAAAGCATATGAAATTATATACGGCACGGAAAAACAAAACTTTAAAAATGTTTGTCGGTCTGTCTTTTTGTTCCGGCTAATCTCCGAAACGACTGGAGTGATTTTAATAATAATGTTATAAGGAGTACGCTCCCGAGCGAAGCGAGGTTAGTCGCTAGTAACTAAGCTCGCTGATTAATCACGAAATGCCAGAGAATATAAATGATATACACTTGTTTGGCAGATAGATTTCTCATGGGATTTCAAAATTCAACCCTTAAATGGGTGAAAGAGGTTGGTTTGGTTTGTAAGTTTGTGTAAATATCGGAGCTTCGTGCAAAGCAATGATTCAACCACTAATATATGAATAAATATCTTATTATTGAAAGTAATATGTTATAAAGTAGTTGCCACTAAAGCGAGCAATAAGTACAAACTACAAGAAAACTATTGCATATCCTACAAGTAGTGCCATCCCACATATTAGTGCGATCAAACAGACAAAAAACAAAACAATTGAACGAACGGATGGACAGACAGACAGACATTCACATTCACAGATTTGGTACAGATAATAGTCTATATACAATCTTTAAACATGATTAAAATATAAGTAAATTTGCTCAACTGTATCAACCGAGAAGCACTTTGCCACATGTTACCTGCTTTACATACAAAAGAATGCCTCGGTATTACAACACTGTATATTTACCTAACATGGCCCACTTTGCTAGTTAGACGTATTTAAGTATAAATTAAGATAAATTAAGCTAAACTTAGTGATTTGTTGTGGTTAAAATTGCATTTACCTAGTTATTTTTTCTACGAGTATACATATTATAATATTTTTTTTGAAATAGTCATTATTAACGATATAGGGGCCGAATCTATAATTTTTAGAATTTTTGTCTGTCTGTCTGGAAACGCATCACGAGAAAACCACTGAATAGATTTTGATGAAATTTAGTACGATGAAAGCTGGTTAACCGGGTCAACATATAGGATACTTTTTGCTGCGAGAAAATATCTCATCTCTGAAAAATCTATACTTACCGTAAGAACTTACATAGGGACGACCCCGAGCGGGGCGAAGGTTAGTCGCTAATAATAATAAAAATTAAAAAAACCCGACAACGTAAAAAACGAACTAAAATAAGAAAAAAACCTGACCAAGAAACACTTTACAGTCCAAAACCTACATGTTTCCTCGGAGTTTTTTCAAAGTATTTTTTTTTACTTTTTTAGGATCAGCTTTCACGTCTTAATTTTTCAATTATTTTTTTTTTGTATTTTGCAAGTTGAGCGATATCAGGGTGGATCGCTAGTATATATAATATTTAGCAATTTTTCTTTTGTGATTGCGACCAATCTATATAGAGCCTTTATACAATCGAAATGAGAGTATAATCATAGGCCAAGGTCGAATTGTTGAATATCAGTCAATTACAGTATACATTTCTAAGTCAATATGACTTACTCGTACATATATATACTCAATTTTGTTTATAATTTTATGTTTATTTATAGCTTATTATGATATATTTATAAAATAATTATTTTTATGGCTGTATAATTTTTGGCCTACTACGTTAAAATATATGAAGGTACCCAATTCGAGTGATTTTTTATTTGTCTATCTATTATTTGTTATAATAGCACCTAGCAAGTTTTCGAAAGACATGCTCCGTCCGCCCGAACTTGGCCAGAGTGGTGGACTATGGCCTGATCCCTCTCGTGTTGAAGGGAGGCCCACCACCAGCAGTGGGACGTTAAAAAGGGCTGAATACATACATACAAATTAGTTGTATTCAAATAAATTGAAATTCTCATACTATTAACCTCTAAAAACTGTTACGAGCTTCCTTAGAAATATATTCGAGCCCCTTTAACCACAGTACAACCGTCAGTGTATTTAATTACAACCAGTTTTCTTTGAAGGACTACTTACTGTTAGATAATGATTGATACATTATGTAACTCATCTTTCTAATGATTGTGCAAATCGCATGTAATTTTATATCTATTTGATCTGATGATATAAGTACAGAGTAGCGTCCGCTTAAAAAGCCGGAGGACTGTCTTATGATTGTTGTTGTAGAGCCTTAATTAAGCTTTTTACTCTGACTGGCTAAGCCGGTTTTGATGGCATTTTTTTAATTGCTTAGATTTAATAGCCGCAGGACGTAGATTCGATATCCATACACTATAAAATGTATTAACCACGCAAATGTCATATGATTGTTATGGAATAGCCTTGCCTTTTACTGGTATAATATATGGATAAGCTGATTTTGATGGCATTCTCTTAATTGCTGTTAGTCGAAGTAATGATAAACAAGTTAATATGTAGTTGTGTAAGTCTAGAAGAGTTACTGCAGAAATAAGCGTAAATGTGTTGAAAGCACGCTTATTAAACTTTTATAACATTTCAAGTTAGTTTTATATATTGATACAAGTGACTACGTAGATACATTTTTTTTTTAAGCGGAACAGTAATTTTTTTTCTAAAATAAAAGAAGCCTAAGTATTCTTTATAAAATCAGCAGAGATTTTCATTTCGGAGAATAGCCGGATCAAACAGATCCAGAAAGACACACAAAAATGTTAAAAGTTGTATTTTTCTTATACATAAGTACCGTATATAATTTCATATGCATTCAGTAAGAAGCTGTTATTTTGATATTACAAACAGATAGTTCAATTTTATTTTTCTGTATAGATGTGCAGTTAGGATGACAATATAATGATTTCATAGAGCTGTTCTGATGATAGAGTCAGAAGGCCTTAATATTTAGACTTATTTGATTCATTTTGACGAATCTTATATTTTTGTGTTTTTTATTTAGTTTTTTTTTTAATTGATATTTTTTGTTACAGCAAAATGTGGAGCCTAGTGATGATGGCGACGCTGATCGCGACCGCGCGTACCAAACAGATTCCTTCTAATACCGGTAAGTACATATTTACCTTATAATAGTAAATAAGCAATTCTTGTATAATATATCTATATACATAATTCTTCAGTACTTTTGTATGTCACTGAACTCCTAAACGGCTGGACCGATTTTGATGTTTTTTTTGGTTGGGAGAGATTTCCTGGATGGTTTAGATTGATGACTGGACCCGGAAGATGACGCTGCAGTCGGGTTCTAGGTTTTATTTCTTCTTATCACTAGCAGACTCGACAGATATTGTTTTGTCCGAACATATAAATAACTCTTCGGTACGTGTGACTGTCACTGAACTCCTCCTAGGCTGGACCGATTTATAATTTAGATAAATAAAGTTATATATGTGTAGTGCATCAACTATCTAGTATCCATAGCACAAGCCTCTTGTAATTGTTTGAAAGTGTATACTTCCAATTTGATCACATTTAAAGAAAAATAATACCATCTCTAAGGGTGGAAAAATGGCAAATGAAAATTTAACCTACTACTGTAGAGACCTAATCAGATATTTTCGAAGTCGGTGCCAGCCGATACAAAGCAAAGCACACCGACTTCGTAAATTTTTGGTTAGGTATCTATAGTAAATGAAAACTAGGTACCAATCAGTTGTTTTTTACTTTTTAGTGTTTTTTAAATTCGGTTATTACTTTTTTGATTTGTTCATTTGAATTATGAGCTAAGATTCGAAAATTTTCTGGTAGACATTGAACAAATCATTATTAGATCAGCTAGATGGTATTAAGTTTGTATTGTATTGTCATCCAGAGATGAAATACATACTTAAAAATTTTGCAATCGATATATTAATAAGAAGTTGATTAAAATCGATTTCTTATTCCAGATATAATAAGTTACAATTGAAGCTAACAAAGTTGAGATATTTAAACTAATATTTCATATAATTTTTTAATATACTCATTTAAAAAACATTGATTTTAATAATCCCAATAAAATCGATTCCAATATAATCGCTATATCAACTTAGGTCCGGTCAATGTCCAAAAGAACAGCTACAGAGGGTCAACGTACTCGAGGCATCCTTACCGACGTATCCTTGCGATCGAAAGGATAGAAATATTTAGCATTCCTTAAAACTCGTATAATTTAAATATACTAATTATTTCTCCCGGCGTCGTCTGAAAGTATTAAATATAATGTATGATAAATATTGTTTTTTAAGCTTTTGATCGACTTCAAAAAAGCATAGAATTTTTAATTCCAATATATATTTTTTTGTTGATTTTATAAACTGTTGCTCAAAGAAGTGTATGTAATTTAAAAAAAAATGCACTACTACGAGCGTTATAATCAGTTTTAATGGTATTTTTAAGTTAGTACAATCCCTTAGTTAATAAACATGCTTTATAACAATCATGGTCACAGGAGGTTCTTCATGATGAAAATAAATCCACAACAGAGTCCACAAAGATAGTTTTATTTAAAAGTAATTACATATTTAATTATTATATATTTGGAATTAAAATATAACTTGATAATTCTCTTACAATATATGGTCAAGTACAACTCTGACTCAAGTTAGGCTTTTGAATGCATTTTATATGATTAAAATTTTCGCACTTTGCTCTTTCGTATTTTGGAAAGTAAACATAAGTCTAAAATTAAAAAATAGGAAAATATTGGACATTCTCTATAGTTCATCTATTCTGTAAAATTTGTCCAGAATAACTCTTATTGCTAACATTTTATTTTATAATAATTCAACCCTCTTTAACATCCCACTGCTGGGTCCGCCCTCCCCCAATGCGTGGACGTTCAGGCAGTAGTCCTTACACTGGTCAAATATGTACACATATAACACATTTACACGTTTTTCGATAACTGGTTAGGTTAGGTTTTAATCATTTACGATGATCTCACTCACCGCATAAGGAAATCTTACGACGAAAGAAAATATTGTGAGGAAACTTGCATGACTGGGAGAACTTGGCAAATTTTAGAAGCCATCTGAAGTCCGCCAACCCGTACTTGGCCAGCTTGGTGGACTGTGATCTGATCCCCCTCGTATTGAAGGGAAACCAACCCCTTGCAGGGCATTAAAAAAGGGCTGAATATAATTAGCAAGTAGCAATTATGTTGAACATGATTTGTCCATAAAATAATAAAAATTAAAGGTACGACACCCCGGATTTCAATCCGTTTCACTTGGTTTTCTAGGCGGACCTGTTTTCATTGGGCTACCATTTCTATTTTGCTTCACGTGATGCTCTATTTTTAAACCAAACAAGTACACAGTAAGAGTAAAATAACCCGATTGTAATTTAAAGCAAGTTTTGCAGTTGTCTTAATGCCTGCGTTATTTTTTTTAAGTCCACCGATTTCTTAGAGAATACTTGACTAATTCTGCTAGTTAAAGCAGTATTCTGTCTCTCTAAATAAATAACCGAAGAAATAAGATGAAGAAGAAGAAAGTCAGGAAAAAAGCCTCCTAATCTCTATTTTAAACTTTCTTTTATACTCATTTTAAAACTAAAGAATTGTATATACCCATATACGAGTATGTATGTCAATACGGATTTATATAAAATATAAGCGCCAGTGGAAATTAAAAAGCGAAAAAGACCAATTTCAAGTTTAGAAATAACTAATATATGCACAAATATATACACAGACATCCTATTAGTACTTTTCTATCTTTAATTAAGACCTTTTTTATATATATATTTTATAAGTAAATTACGTTTTTGGCAGATTTTGAAACGAGTAAAAAAGTGTGTGACATTAAAAAGGCGTATAATTATATGCACGACTAGCATTGCCCGCGGCTCCGCCCGCGTTCCGATGACCAAAAACTAAATTCTTAGGATTTACATATTACTATACTCTTACATTGCATTTTTTCTCAAAAAAGAAATATTTTCCCGCGGTTAAAAGTATCCTATATGTTGACCCGGATAACCAGCTATCACCATACCAAATTTCATCAAAATCCCTCCAGTAGTTTTTCTGTGAGACAGGCAGACAAACAGACAGACAAAAATTCTAAAAACTATAGATTCGACCTCTGTATCGATTATAATGAAAATTTCAATTAGATTTTCAAAAAAATATTTAATGTACAGATTCGGAATAGTTACAATTTTATTATATGTATAGATTTTTATTTCTATTTCAATAAAATGAATTGGAATAATCTAATATTGCTGTAAGATTCAGTCCTTCTTCTACATTTTGGTTAATTAAAGTTTAATAATTTTCAAATCACTTATTACATTGTATACTTACTTCTTGCACATTGAAGTCACACAGAGATTTACAATGTCTTGCTCCAATGCCCCAAAGGAAGTAAATTACAACGGGCCACATGAAAGGTATCGTCACGCATCTACACACGGTTCCGTGGTTTCTAATATAATAAGTATATAAGTTATATTAGAGGGGAAAACAGGAGAAAAATTAATAAATTAAATTATAGTTAAAAAAACGTGTGTGTGTATTATGAACACACATAAGAAGTTATACTTATTTGGCGTAACAGAACAAAAATAGCTAAAGATTTCATCCCGTATGTCACAAGTGTCTGTTTGTAAAAGGAATACAGCTTATTTCATCATGTCGCTTTTTGGCTGTCTTTGTGCGCGCGCATCGTACAAAAGTTACTCTCATATTTTTTTTAAACGTGCCAAAAGAATTGTAACTTTAAAAAAATAAGTTTTGACCAAGAATATTGTATAGAAGAAGTCGAAACCAATTAAATACATCTGAGTTCGAATATTTAATAGGGATGAAATAATTTCATAATTTGAGCTTTAGTTGAAGCTACCTCTAGTTTCACGCTTTAAAAACTTCACAGCTTCAACAATACATCATCAGAGCTTTAATCTTATCCTAGTTTTAGTAGCTTCAGTGCATTTTTAGATTTCATGATTAATCAGTCAGTAAGTCAGAGAGTTTTTCTAAAATATATAAGTATAGACTAAGTATTGTTTACAGATTTAGCTACATCATCAGTAGCAACGGCTACAGAACCCGTCACAGAGTGGCCAGAATCTCTCGCCCCTCTCGATACTCTCGCGGTCGCGTGCGAGAAGGACAACATGCATGTCACCATCTCCCTCGCACATGCCCAGTCACATCCTAACAGGTATATTACACTCATCATCTTAATTAATACCTTTAGTAAATTTAACTGGACCAATATTTGTACTGGATCAAGAGTTACAAAAATCATTAAAGTAATTTAATAAGTTAACTGTTTTGTTTGTCTCGTGGCTAGTATATAAGGCTGAGAATCCGAAGATCTGGGGTTCGAATCCCTCGTCGAGCTAAGTACAGTTGTTGGATATACCTATCAAGAAATTTACTTTAACAGGAGTTGGGAGGCTACCGGTGGTAATCCCCGTGCCTCGAAAAGCACGTAAAGCCTTCTGCGCCTAATCTTTTAACGATCGTGTCGAATTGTCGTCATAACTGATTTTAAGTTAAAGGAATAGAACGACCAAAGGAATAGGCGACCATGACTGAAAAAAAATCAGTGATTTAATGCTGAATAAAATATTTTAAATTTTGAATTTCTATATACAAACAGACGGACATGACCAAATTATAAATGTTCCAATTTTGTTTCGGCTATCGAACCCTAATAATTCGTTTAAGAGATATTTAAACACCAAACAAAGAACAAAACCAGAATGTTAATATTTCATTACTGTATATTGTAGACGAGGACATAAAAATAGAACGAAAAGTCTCGTATAACCAACATAGCTGTGGTCAGTTCACGTTTTAGTGGTCAAGGTACTTTTGATGCGTAAGATGCATACTTCTCTTTATAAGATTATTTCTCTTTTAAATTGGTTTCTTTGTTTTAGTAAATATAAGAGTTTAGTAAGATTACTCTCATTCTCTTCGATTGACTCATTATGACGAAGCTAAAAGGAAAATTATAACTTTAGTATACGAAAATCATCGTTTATCTCTACATAAACCCCAAAATATCTAGCAGTACGATATTGATATACATTTCTCAGATGAGATATTTTCCCGCTGTAAAAAGTATCCTATATGTTGACCTGGATAATTAGCTATCATCATACCAAATTTCGTCGAATTCTGTCTAGTGGTTTTCTTGTGATGTGCGGTCACAGACAGACAAACAAAAATTCTAAAAACTATAAATTCGGTCTCTGTATCGATAATAATGACTATTTCAATAAGATTTTCCAAAAAAAAATTTTTATTGTACTGATTCGACTCAGAATTTTACTATACATACGTATTGATGAGCATCGCTACCAAACTTCACAAGATTAACCGCAAAGCTAATTGCCTAGGCTGATTGATTGTAAATTTCCTCAAAATCACTCCAGCCGTTTTGGAGTCCATTGGGAGCATACATACACACATCGATTATAATAATTTCACGTTTTCTTAAGACAAAATGGGACGCGAACTCAAGAAGGCAAATTTAATTGGATAATAAAATCCTAGAACATTCTTAATGAGGTTTGCATAAAAAAGTAGATGTCGAAACTTTACATGCTGTGAATGCGAAAAATATCCACATCACGTGCGTCATATACGGAAGTAAGCAAGCTTCCTAACGAAGGATGTAATTAGAATCGTAATTATGGGTAGTGGAAAAACTCAGAAATATTGTCTTGTAGTTTTTTTTTTATCTTTGCAAGGAGGTCCAGTTTTTATAATCAATATACATAGGTATACCTATTTCATACGCTTTTAACTTTTTTTTATACTATCGAGTATATCTGATGGAGCCACGAGGTTAAAATTGGAACTCTGAGTCAGGCTCATTTGGTTATTTTTTTAATATTTACTAGCGACTTAGCCTTACTTCGTGAGGTGTATCTCTAGGACTCTTTTGTATAATTTTACAGCAAATTTAAAGCGACAAAACCGGCCAAGTGCGGGTTAGACTCGCGCACGAAGGGTTCCGTACCATTATCTATAAAAACGGCAAAGAAATCATGTCTGTTCTATGGGAGCCCCCTTAAGCAGCCAGCATTATGCTACCCAAAATATGGTCCCTAACTTCGCACGCTCGGTCATAAGCATCGTGGTCAAATATATATTTTCATTATAATTGTATAAAAATCTTAGCTAAACATAATTTTTCAGTGTATATGACTCATTCAACGGGATAGTCTACCCCGCGGGACTCGGCAGCAACTCTTCTTGCCTACGCGAGTATGTCTCTGCGAGGGGCGACCTGCAGTACACGGTGCCATTGAAAGGATGCAACACTATGTCAATAGATAACGTAAGTAAACATATAAAACTAGCTACTCTTGTGACTTTTTCCGCGTTATATTAAAAAAAAATAAAAATGCGGTAATAATAGATACATCTTTGGTGGAATTTTCGTATAATTTTCCATACAAATGTATATTAATGGGTATATTATATGTATACTAAATATTCAGTTACTATCGAGGCAATTTTCAAAAATAAAATCAAACAGGATATATTTCATAACAAAGTTTTCAGTTTCACGTCATCCCTATTTCGTATTTAGACTAAGGGCAGTTCTCAATTCGTCCGTATTTTTGTTCATGTTCGTTACCTCTGAATTCCGTAATTTATTAACCAAATTGAACAATTTTTGTTTTGTTTAAAAGTGTATACTTCCAGATTGGTCCCATTTAAATTTGAAAACAAAAAGTTTAACCTACTTTGAATAATTGGCATGTTGACTTGAAACTCTGCAAGTGTGTTTCTATTGCCGTTGATAGTGCAGCGGTTCGGTATCCTCGACCTGATCTAATTCTAATAAAGAATTCGTCAACGGCTAATAGTAAATTTGATAAGCCACAAATACGTTAGAATTAGATTTTAGAGCCAGATTTTTTTAGTGTTACTAATAAAAGCGAATTTTATTTTGTCAGTCTTTATATAAAAATTGGCATCAAACTAACTTAAACGGCTTAAGCGAATGTTGTATTACAATACTTTTTTCTTACTTTGCTACTTCTAAAAAGGAAAAAATAAAAACTTAAAAAAATAAAATAAACCCCACCCCGACTTCAAAAAAATCCATAAAAAGTAAAAAATTACTTATTAGTAGTTTTTATTTACTACAGATACCTAATCAGACACCTTCGAAGTCGGTGTCAGCCGATACAAATCAAAGCATATCGACTTTAATTTTATTGAGTCGGTTTTTATTTTATTTTTTTAATTTTAAAAAAAGTTTTTATGGCAAATACTATCAATGCGAATTTACTAAATATAAGCTAATTATTGAAAAAGTAAAATTGCTTATCCAGCAAGAAATAATCACCTGTAGTTCTGGAAATATTTTTTCTATAGAACGAATAACTTTTAACCATATAATAAGTGTCCCATTACAATCCCCTCAGTCATAGAAGTTCAGACGAAAGTTTTAATGTTACAATTTTATTTAATGTCTAGAAAAAGGTATTTTATTCCACAAACATATATCTTGATTTGATGACGTTGGCTCAGTTTGTAGTGATCTACTTGCTGTGCCAGCGTTTGCGGGTTCGAGTCCCGCTGGAGGCATTCATATTTTGAGTGATGAACACGAATGTTTGTACTCCAATCATGGATGTTTATCTTTATAATATGTATGTATTCAAAGTTATATATGTGGGTTTGGTATCCATAAGGCAAGCCTCGTAGATTACCATGGAACTAGATGGTGCTGTGTGTTAATGTCCCAACATATTTATATTTATTTTATAGAAAACGAAGTAGGAAAGCCATTAGAGTGCATATTATCAGGCGCAATGCGAACATTCCTTACTGTCCATTGTTCAAGCATTTATATACATACAATTTCAAGTTTGTAAGGGGCGGCGCACACAGGCACTTTGTATTGCCTATTGAAATATTTGCACGAAGGGCTTACTATGTAAAGAAATGAATGACTCAACAACTAGAAATTTTAATTTAAAGGAGATATATCGAAATTATTTTATACTTACTGTTATTAAGCAGTGCGGCAGTTGTAGTCCACTGGTAACACACTCGCTTGGAAAAACAAAATTGGAGTGGGTTCAAATCCCGGATCTTGCGCCTTTGATGCATGTTTGAGAGAACCTAGCAAGTTTCGAGAGACATGTAAATTCCGTCAACTCGTACTCGGAAAGCGTGGTGGACTATGGTCTAACTGCCCTTGTAGTAAATAAAGGCCGGTGCTCAGCAATGGGGCTTTACAAACGGTTGAATACTCTATTAAGCAAAATATATCGGTGATATTGTCCGCGTTGAATTAAAATTTACATTTTTATAAGATTCCTATCTTTTCGGTTTTTTTTTACTTTACATTATTAGAGTAGTAGTAAACCCAATTTATATTGAAAGAGTAACAAACACATATACACACAAACAATCGAATTTATAATAGTATAATATAATATAGTATATTTTTTTTAATTCATGGCACAATTTTATGTAACATCCAAACTTGTCTCTAATAAGTACTCGACCCACATGGGAATCGAACCCACAGCATTTAGCACATATAATAACAAAAAAATTCAAATACGTAATATCTCATCCGTTACCAAATATTTGTTTTAATACTTTCACGACTGGAAGGCAATCAATTAACATCTTCTTCTCAAACAACACGATTTGGAAGTGTTAGAATATAGTATAGAGACAAAGTATAGGCATACTAGCATTTGCTTTCAGCTCCTGCTTCTGCGCATCATTACCCAAAAGATACTGTTTAACTTTGAATTATGTATATATACTCGTAATTAGCAGAACCCGCGGCTTCGCTCGCGCTAAAACTACAGAAAAAAACTCTAAAAAGTGGGTTTCATAAAAACTTTCATCCCCTATTTTACCCTCTTAGGGGTTGAATTTTGAAAAGTTCTTCCTTGAAGGATGCCTTTGTCATATGAGGAATACGTGTATATATATAACGTTATTTTTGTTAAACTTTATTGCATTGAAGGTTCAATTTACATTGCTATATATTTATTTTAACTAGAATAATTACCTAAACACAATTGGTGATAGTTTTAAGATAACTTTTGCATGGGATTGTGTATTTAGTACATTTGATCGATGCCTTTAGGGGTCGGATTTGCTAGAATATAAATATATTGATGCCTGCTTTTATATTTCAAATTTGGAGCATTTGTAATATTCGCGTTAAATCAGTAACACACTTGTTAGTTTTTTTTTTCAAATATTGGTTATTTTTTTCCAAAACCTATTAAAGAAACCGACTTCATTCTAGTAAGACAATGGTAACAAATGCACAAAGTCCTAACTCCTAAACGAAGCTAGTACCTCATATCAGAAGTACGTATTAAATTCTTATTTATATTTATGTATAGGTACATATAATAAAATTATAACCAAGTCGAATTTATGCATTAAATATTTTTTGGAAAATATTATTGAAATAGTCATTGTAATCGATACAGAAGCCGAATCCATAGTTTTAGTTTTTTTTTCTGTATGTCTGTCTGGGGACGCATCATGAGAAAACCACTGGACAGATTTTGATGAAATGATATTTTTATTACGGGAAATTATCTCTTCTCTGGGAAATCTATACTAAACTTTAAATAATAGTGTAAAATATATAAAACACAATATACCTACCATTTAAATTCTACGATTAGGCAAGATTTCTACGTAGCAAGTGATTTTTTTTTATTAATTATGCCAAGTTCTGGTCCGTCTGTTTCCTACCTCTCTATCCATAAATTCCACTAAACAGATTTCGATAAAAATTAAATAGGACATAGATTGCAAGAATAAGTTATTTATTTAATTATAAGCTTTATAATAACTTGCGTTCGTCCAGTGGTCGAAATTCGACGATGATCATTATTGAAAATTTCAGGAAAATATATAAATGGAATTTAGCTATCTATATAAAAAAAACAATTTCCAATTTTTTTTAATTATTAACACTAAAGCTCTTCAATAGCTACTAAACAAAAAAAAAGAAAATTGGTTGACAAACACAGGAGTAAAAGGTACTGAACCATCTTTGCCCTATACATATAATAAAAGTGTAACTATGCCGAATCTGTACTTTAAATATTTTTTGGAAAATCTTATTGAAATAGACATTATTATCGATACAGAGGCCGAATTATAGTTTTTAGAATTTTTGTCTGTCTGTCTGTTACCGCATCACACAAAAACCACTGGAGGGATTTTGATGAAATTTGGTATGGTGATAGCTAGTTAGCCGGGTCAACATATAGGATACTTTTTACCGCGGAAAAATATCTCATTTCTGAGAAAAAATACAAAAACTGCAATATAAGAGTATACTAATATGTGAAACCTAAAAATTTGGTTTTTGGTAATCTGAACGCGGGCGGAGCCGCGGGCAATGCTAGTTTAAATATATATTCAATAAGCCATTGTGCGCGACTCTTTACATTACGTAAGCTTAGGAAGCGCGTGATAGGAATGGACGTTTAGACGAGGAAATCCACGTCACTCTCCGGGTTAATGCACCTAAAGGTTTGGTACATATAGGTTTGTTGTAATTTTTACTTTTCAGAAATAAAATACAGAAAAGTGTTTATTTTTTGTTTTAAAAAAATGAAAACAAATTAAAATCAGTAAAAATAAGACAAAAACTCATAAAATTTATTTACTCCATAAAAAAATGAAATAGAAAAAAGCTTAAAGTAAAATCGACTTTATCTAGTTCTCATTTTATAACAAAATTGGGCTCGAAAATATGTAAAAATTCAAAATTAATGCCCCTAAATTGCGATTTTTTTTTAATTGCGAATTTAAATAACGACATTAAGTAATAATATTATATAAAAAAATGTATGTAAATAAATCAATACAGCAAATACCTTTTTAACGTTATTAAATTTTGAAATAACTTTGATTTATTGTCAGTAAAGGTCTAACGACGCCATCTACTTACTCGTTCCGTGCCATAATCGATTTTTGAAGTGAAACTTCTTTAGAATCGTTGTAATTTAAAACTCGATGAAACGAAAATGCGACACTAAAAAGAGACAAACACATAAATATATAGGATTAAGCCGGCGAGAGAATGAGATAGAATACATATTATGGTACATTGCCATGATAACCGTTGTTATTGTCTCACAAATATATGATATTATATTCTTTCCGTATATGATATTCTATAAATATATGATTCTAATACGCATAATATGCCTTATTAAATTATAGACTTGTTTTAATTTAATTACGATATTTGCCAAAGAAGTTTTATTTCAACCGCGCGTAAAAGTTACACGCACCCATTCTTTTTTTTTATTTGCATGGCAG